AGGCGCTATGAGAGCATGCAGAGGTTTCTAATAATTTCTTTTGTTTCCTAAACCATTGTTTAAAATTTTATTTTTTAATTTTTTAATGTTCTCTATATAGTTGAGAAGGAGGCATATCCATGTTGGCTATGATTAGGGTGGAGAAGGTCGAGGTATGGAGGAAAGTGGGTGGGACAAATGTTTCCATTTTTTTTTCTTCTGTTATCTGAAGGCTGGATGGGTTGAGAGGAGAGCAGAGGGGTTTGGGAAGTGAAGGGGGCTGCTTCTTGCTGCCAAACTACATTAGCATCTAGGGATGGTGGGGAAGAATGTTCCATTGGTGTTACTTGTGTGATGTGATTCTTTAGGGATAGCGATTTCCTATTATACTCCCATTACTTTCCCCTTATTTTCCCCATATTATTACAGTAATATAGTCCTTCAGCAACAGTCAGAAGTACAACGTTCTGCTAATTAACATTCATGTGTTGTAGCCATGGTATAAAGTCTAGCATCCTATTGTCAATGTGTATTTAGCAATTTAATTGGGAATCCTCCTTTTCTTTGAGAGTAGAGATGCATACTGCAGCATGTCTTCACTTCTTGGTATGCTGGGCTCCATTATACAGTTAATCTATGAAAATATATGTATATATCTGTTCATCTATACATCTGTTTGTTTTGTATTTTGTATGAAGGTTGCCTTACATCAGAGAGAACATATGGTGTTTGTCCTTTAGAGATTGGCTTATTTCGTTGAACATAATGTTCTCTAGTTGAGACCATTTTTTGCAAATGGTAGCATTTCTTTTTTTTTTAATAGCTGAATAGTATTCCATGGAGTAGAAGCACCAATTTCTTTATCCACTTATCTTTTGATGGACATCTGGGTTGTTTTTGTGTCTTTGGTATTATTATTGCTGTTTTCATTGCTTCAGGGTTAAGAAAATCTTCCCAAGGTCTGTTGGTTGACAAATCCACCTTAGTATATCCTCACACCCAGACACTTGCTGCCATAGTTTGACGAGGATCAATAGCCAAGCTGTTCCACTCTCTGTCTTCTGATGTGGCACTCAGTTTTCTCTGTTGATCTAGATGATCTGGCTGTTATGCACTTCGTGTGCAACTTGGCTGCTGTCCACTGCATGGGCAACAGCAACTGAGGCCCATCCTTATGCGTGCACTCCAAGGTCGGACCACATACCGTGTGAATATAATAATTTCTACCTTGAATCAGTAGGCAGAGCAGATTACATGTAACTTGGAGGGACCAGAGCTGGATTAAAGTACTTCTAGTAAATAGAAATGTAACCTTGGATACATTATTTCTCTCTTCTGTCTGTAATATAGAAGGATTTGATTAGACTTATAAGGTTTTGGCTCCTGAATTTGCTGTGCAACTAATTGTGTTCTGCTTAAATGATCTTTTGCCCAAGTTTTTATCCCTGGAGAATCTGACTCAACTGTTCTGGGGTGAGGCCCAGGAATTTCCTAGATGTTATGATACGTATGTACATCTAGGAATTATTGATATAGGTCCTGATAATTTTCACATCTTGTAATTCTAATTATAGGTCAAGGAAAATGCAGCAGGAGTCAGATAAATGAAGTGATTGTATTCATGCAGAAGCAGGGATAATATTTTATTAGGTAATGGGTAAATGGGGCTTAACAGAAAATATGTTGAAATGAATCTGAAGAATAGATATGTTCGGGTACATTCAGGTTGAATGGTTAGGATTTAGCTTAACTTAGTGGAGGCCAGAGTATATTCAAAGGGACAGGAGGAAAAAAATTCCTGTTTTAATGCAATTAACTATTGTTTTAGACTTGTTTTTCTCAATTTTATCAGTCTGACTTGATTGCTTTTTGGAGATGAAAGAGTGTTATTGCAGGTTCATCCTCTTTGAGTGGACATGAAACATGTAGTCATGATAGACACATGGGGCTGCTTTGGGAACTAAGTGAGTATGTTTCTCCTTAAGCCTTTAGGGAGCTGTGCCTTTTGAGGTCTACTTTGACCACTCCATTGGTTTTCTGGTTAGATACAAAGGCTATCAGGACCCACTACAAAAACTAAAATATTAGTTTTGCTGTCAGAATGATTATTACTAAACCAAAGTTGGCTTTCTTGTTTAGTAGAAACCATGTAAAGGCAACATTCTGGAGCAAATTATACAGTGTGCCCTTGATGAAATAATGAGCCTAAGTTTAAGGGATAAAAGCAATGATCTAATGCAATATTTAGAATAAATATACAGTATGTAGTTATTAGCCTAAAAGTCACATCCTGCATTCTTTTAATTTGTGGAAAATTTGTCATTAATTGCCCAGGAAACCTCTGATTTTTTTCATACATAATCACATCATAGCTGTTGAGGTTCTCCCCCTCTCCTGCCTTAAAATACATGCCTGTAAATAGTAGATTACTTTTAGATTTGTAATACCCCTTTAAACACTGAGTTGCTAAGTTTAGCCCTTTTGCTTTTTTTAAAATAGAATTCCTTTCCCCCCACTTTGCTCTTGAGTAGTCACTGACAATTCACACTTTGTTTTATGGTAGCAGCTGGCTTAAAATGTTATTTAACCCTTTTGCCCAACAGAAATCTACAGACTCTACAAGGCTGTTTTTTTCCCCTTTTTTTTGAATTACCATGATATGGAGGAAATGGATATAGTAATCCAGTTAGAAATAATTTAAGAGTTGAGTTCTGACCTTTCATTCAAATTCACTCAAAATGGGTCAGGGTGAAAAAAGCATAAATTAACAAATATAAGGAAAGAATAAAGTATTGGCTCAAAAACGAGATATCCGGGTTGATATGCAACATAGAATCTGGCCCTTGCATATCCCTGGTAACTGTGTTGATTAACTTAGGATTTATAGGTCAACTTGTGATCGTTCAGCCAGCCTACTACTTCAGGTAGCTCTTTCTTGCATTGGTCTGTTGACTTTGTTGACTTTGAAATTAGGGAAACAGAAATCCCAAGTCATTTGTGACTGATTAAGTAATCAAAGGTAAGGAATTACCTTTGTTAATCTGAATTCTTGCCCTTCATGAGCATTAGAGTCCCTTAGAGGGTGACTTTCACCAGGATTTATTTTAGAGAATAAATATGTAATATAAAAAGAACCACAACATAGTTAGATCAAAGAAGTAACTCTTACAGAAAAGACCCCTCCCTGTGTTCAGAAAAATTTCCTCATTGCAGGAAGGCACATCATGAGGAAAGACCTACCATTGCATCCTATATGTCTTTTTATGTGCCAGACTGTTAAAAGAGATGGTAGAGTCAGAAGTGTAGACTCTGCAAGTAAATTTAAAATTATTCACCATTTCATAAATTGTGTTCATTCAATGTTTGTACTGCCTGCCTGATGTTGCTGGCCTTTGCTTAATTCATATAATTTAAGATATTATCTATTTATATATAAGGGCTTCAGTTTGATATGAAACTGTGATTTTTAGAAACAAAATCATTGGTTTAATCGAAATGCTAAAGATTTTCTAGAGAGTATATTTAAAGATTAATTGTCAAATTGTATATACATAGTTATGTAACTACTTAGAGGTCAACAGGAATTAGAAACTGTGAATCTGGACTACCCTTCCAGGCCATTTTTGCAACAAAATGTTGATTTGATTTTCCATTTTGAAAGACACAGAAGTGATCTGTGAAATGGTGATTAGTACGAGGCAGCCCCAGGGAGCCCTGGAGTGCTCGATGTTCAAATGCCCAAGACCAGATGGAAGTCCAGAAGTGGATGACTCAAAGTTTATTAGTTTTGCCACCTGGGCAGTACAGCAGAACCAGCTGCCACAAGGCAGTTCCAATTTTGACAGAGCAGTAAATGAACATAAAAGTGAGTACAAATCCTAAGAATAAAGTGAAGGAGAATTACCGCTGCCACAGGGAGTCATGTAGGCTGAGGTCTGTTGGCATCTCCTGCAGGAGACGCAGCTGTCTAGCTAGGGAAAGGTCAAGGGTACCGAGCCCTGAAAAATGACCCATGGGTTGTTCCAGGAGCCAGTCTTCATTTGGGCTGGGTTTGAATTGCTGGCTTGCTAGGTTCCCAGTCATGCTGGCTGTTCTAGAAAGGGAAAAGTTTTTATGTTATATGGTGCTTATGCAATGAGACTAGAAGCATTTTTTTTTTCTGAAAACTATGTAAAGTCATTTGTTCACTTTCTTCTAGGGGTTTGGGTCTTTGCAGACAAACTGTTCATTAGAACCTAAGATCCATGTACCTCAACACAAGGAATCATGTTATACGTTAAATCCTTCTGCTGTTACTCTCAGATGAAGTTAATCTACTGTAGGCTTTTCAAAATCTGTTCAAAAATACTGCTAGAGTGAAAAGTTGACCGTAAGGCTTTAGGTGATTCATATACTAGATCTGTGGTGCTCGGAAGGGGGGAGTATGATAACGAGGTTTGGGACCAGGACCCCTTTGGGAGTGGTACATTAATATTTAGATAAGGATGATTCACTAATTAATAAAAGAAGTTAAATATTCTTGAGCCTCTCTGTCTGAATGTTTGGATAGAAAGTAACAGAAAACATGCGTAAACTGACTTCAATAAAAGGGAGATTTATTATAAATTTTTTTTATGCAACGAGAAATTTAGAGGAATATTACACCTGGCTTTGGTTCACCATTTCAGGGATGACAGAGGCTTTCTTTGTGTCATCATGATGTAAATTGAAAAGGCATAGCTGGAAAGATGAAGTTGTCTTTATACTTTTTGTGTCTTTGATACTGAAGGCTGGATCAAAATTTCATCTATCTGGTCAACCTCTGCCTTCAGCTGCTACGGGAGCAGAATGTTCATGTGTTCGTATTTCTCAGATGACCGTTGCTTAGTCTCATTCACGAATATAATAGTACTGTTTATTTTTGTGTGGAAAGTACAGATGCCTATTTATTTTCTAATCTGATTGAATAGTGTTATAATATTTTGCTAAGAACAGAGTAATCAGTTGCTTTTTCCTTTCCTTTTTTTTTTTTTTTCTGATAGGTGGCATGTTTGACCCAGGTTGCTGCTAATTACCTTATTAGCCAAATGGAAGCGAAACGTTGGGGTACAGCTCACGGCAGTATTGTTCCTTACCAGGTAAGATACAGAAGTCTGGAGTTGGACCACTGTATTCTGTGATTTTTACATTCCTAGGAGTTGGGGAAGTGATAAAGAAATCACTTTCATTTTTCTTGTTTTTACTCCTCCTTCCACCACTGGGGTTTCTCTGGATCTGGCTGTAACAAAGCTCTGACCATCACTTTAAATTCTGAGTTGTGCATATTTCCTCATCAGAAGATTAGTAACAGGACACTTAAATGGATCAAAGGAACTTGCTGAAAGTGAGTGACATTTGGGCTCACATGAAGTTTTCCTTTATTTTCTACCCAAAGAGGCACTGGCTGTAGCCCATTTATAAAGCATGATTTGTTACCCATGTTGGTTATAAAATCAGCATTACCTACCCCATCTGATAATAATATTCTCACAGAGTTGCGGAAAATGAAAATTTGCGTGTGATGGATCTTCATTTTTGGAGCAAAGCAAAAGGCTTAGGAGTGGCTGTTCTTTATTAAGTGTCTAATTTGCTTTCAGAATTTCTGGACTTTGGCTAGTTTATACATGAAGAAATAGATCTTTCAAAAACAAAAATAAAAAAAGGCATGAATTCTCATTGTTCTTCCAAACCCCTAACTTTTGTGGAGCTTTGTTGTATCATATCTCATTTGTTTTTATGAATGTATTTGTTGTATCTTGTGAACTGTATTGCATATTGTATCTCATATCACCAATAGAAATTCAGAGTTGGCATCTTTTTTTATCTATTTTTTTTTTTTATCTTTTTTACCTATTGAATGCAGGAGTCAGCGTTAACATATTTCTCTTAATTCTAATTCTCCTTGCAGAGAACTTTTTTTTTTTACTGGTCAGGAAACGTGTCATCACAGCTAATTATCCTGGTTTAAAAAAATGAACTTTTATTTGGGAGAAAACAGTTTCTTTTCCATTTTTCAAAACCCCAGCTTTTTAAATTAAATGAAAAAATTTCATTTTTTTCTAGAAAAAATTTGAAGAAAACAGTAGCATAGTGTCAACCCAAGATTCTTTTCTATTTCTTTTTGTAGTCTCTTTATATCTGAAGCTTTACTGTGATTGCACTACTCTTCTACATCCTGAGCCATTCATGTAGTAGAATCCCAACTGCAGTGTAGTTTGCTTTCGTGTCTCCTCTCTTTTCTCTACCAGGCATCTTATGACCACCATTAGTGACATATGGCTTTTCTGATTCCTCTCTATGACCAACCCCAGAATTCCACCCACGCCTATCTTATATCATAGAAATCATTGCGTTTTTCACTGGCTTGAGATGATTAGATTCTGTCTTATTCTTTTTCAAATAAGAAATCTGATGTCTAGGTTGAATAGATGTACCTCCAGCTCTGGTCTTCTGCCTTCATGTTGAATAGTCTTTCAGATCTTCCTGCGTTTTTGCTGCACCGTCTTTGATATGATGTTGCTGTGATTTCAATTCCTTTCTTTAATTCCTTTCCATCAAACTTGTTTATATCTCGGGGGTCTCATCAAATAATATATACACAACATTGAGAGTGGAAATTCTCTCAAGAATATTTTAACCAGGGACAATGTAGGATTTGTGAGAATTCATCTTAAATACTGGAAATCCATGCCATCAGCAATTGATGTTTATGGAGAAAGCATTTCAGATTTAGAAGCCTTTATAGTAAAATTTGAAATCATATAACATAGCAGGTGTTCATTTTAGTAAGCCATAAAGCTAACAGATTATTTTTGCTTACGGATTTCAGCTATTCCTCCTAGACATCAGCACCTAAGCCATCCTGCTTATATTGCTAATTATTTCAGGATATTTGGCTTTTATTTCAAAAGATAAAATACATAAGATCTCTCTTTCAGTCTTTCTCTCTCCCTATGAGTTCAAAGATAATAATGTATTTTTTTCTGGTTGAATTGTCCCAATCACATAAACTGGGTATATTTCATCCTAATTGATTTTAGCTTTATTATCTGTAGGAAATAAGAGATGTACTAGGTTCTTTCCTCTGGAGTTACAGAATTAATTTATTTCCTCTTGGTAGAGAACTGGTTCAGAACTGTGATTAAGGAATAAATGCAAATTTAGCTTGAGTGAAATTAGCATAGCAAGATGGGCCCTAGATATGCTTAGATAAAGATCCTAGTCTGTTTTCAATTTTTAAAGTAGTTTTGGGAAATATCTTTATGGGTGAATTCCAGAATAATTATAGTTCAGTTTTATATAATAATTACAGCTTTGCATCTAATTTGAATTGTCAGAGCTTTAAGCTGAATGAATGTAATGGAAGACTGATGGTATCAATAGTTAGCCTGCCCAGCTCATTGTCCTCAATTCTTGCTGAACCCTATTAATAATCATAGGCATGGAGTATACAGAACATACCTTTCTGAACTATTGACCCTAGATTGTGTGTGTGTGTGTGAGACAAAGTTTCAGTTCTCCTCAGATTGATTATGTTCTGGTACACTTTTCGTGCCTATTCTTTGGTAATTTTTGTAAAAATGTTTTATTTATTTATTTTAAAAACAGAGGGAGAGAGAACGAGCAAGAGAGAGAGAGAAAGATAGAGATACTAGGGAAGAGTTGGTTCGTGGTTCACTCCCCAAATGGCCACAATGACTGCAATTGGGCATGTCGGTAGCTTCTTCTGGCTTTCCCACAAGCAGTTGGGCTTTCTTTTGTTGCTTTTCCAGGCCATTAACTAGGAGCTAGATCAGAAGCAGAGCAGTGGACTCAAACCAGTATGCATATAGAATGCTAACAAGGCAGGCAGTGGTTTTACTTACTATACCACAATGCCACCTTGATTGCCAGCTTAAAGAATAAGCAAGTTAAACCAAAGCCAGTGGACCTGAGATAACGATTTCACCTCCAACTACACAGATTGTTGGATGTACCTGACCTAAAAGATTGATAATTTTATGATTATGCTCATTAAAACATTGGTATATTTTTCAACAAATAATTCTATTTAGAAGGAAGAGTTTTGGAGATGGGAGCACAGTATATGAGAAAGTAAATAGCTGATCTTAAAAAAAAAGACTACCATTTTTCCTTTAATGTAACAGATGCCCTTTAGGTATATGGCTACTATGGTAATCCCTGCATTTCATAGCCTGTGTGTAGCCAAAATGTTCTATTTGCATGTCTTCTTCTACTTTCTAGCTTGTGACCCATATTGGCCTCTTTATCTGCCATGTTTTAGGAGACCTATCTATCAATATACTCATAAGGACAGGAAACTGTATGAATTCTTTGAAGAATAATGGAGGAGTTTTTATACTATATTTGATCTTAGCGAAAACTCTAAGTGATGGAGGAATTTTTAAAAAAGATTTATTTATTTGTATTGGAAAGTCAGATGTACAGAGAGGAGGAGAGACAGAGAGCAAGATCTTCCATCCGTTGATTCACTCCTCAAGTGGCTGCAACAGCTGGAGCTGAGCTAATCCGAAGCCAGGAGCCCAGAGCTTCTTGGTCTCACACGTGGGTGAGGTCCCAAGGCTTTGGACCATTCTTTGCTGCTTTCCCAGGCCATAAGCAGGGAGCTCTATGGGAAGCAGAGCCACCTGGACAGGAACCAGCACCCATGTGGGATCCTGACACATGCAAGATGAGGATTTTAGCCATTAGGCTAGTGTGCTGGGCATGATGCAGAAGTTTTTATAGATGTAATCTCCATCTTGACTAGATCAGGAGACCTTTCCTTTCTAAGCGTTTTATATTTTTTCAGGAATTCACTGTCCTCAGTAACATAACACTCTTCTTGTCTTCTGTCTGTCTCCTTACTCTGGCATCTGATATCCTTTGTCTTTCTTCTTTTCAAATGCAATGCATCCCTCTTGTCTTATTCAGAATTATGATGTTTCTTAGTATGAGTATGGATCCTTGGGTAGCTGCCTTTCAGAGCATCATGATTTCTTTTTCAAATATAGAGATTTTGTTTCAAAGGGACATGCTGATGTGTGGCTCTAAGAGAAGCCCACAAAACTTTCTGTGAGACCATCTCTCTTCCTAGTCTACTTTACCTGCAGCATGACTTGAGTGAACTCAGAATTTGTCAAGTTCCAGATAAAACCGCAGTTCCTTCAGTTAAAGTATGATCCCCAAGATCAAGATGAGCTGTTCAAGAAACAAATCTTGAGAATGACGCTGGAACCGCAGCCCTCTCTTTCCCTTGAAAGTAGACCAGAACTAATCCCATCATTCCTTACATTCATTAGCCTCATTCACCACCAGGACCCAGTGCTTTCCAGGGCATCTATTATTGCCTGAACACTTTTGCCATATGGTTCTATTCATCTCTTCCTTTGACCTAGTAATTTCTACTGTCATCAATCTCTGTGACTGTAAAATTTGCAGCAGCTTCCTAGATCAGCCTGGCCTGTAATTTATTTAACCTCTACTCTTTCAATTTTCTTTACCTGTTCGTAATTGGCTCCCACTCAAGTATTGTTGCATACAAATTGTTTAGAGATCTTGTTAAAATGCTGAGTCTGATTGGTGCTGATGTTGGTGATGCATTGTTTCCGTCTCTAGGCTCTGTTCCTACCAGTGCCTTCACCATTGTCACCTGTGCAGCTGACCGGCAATATTAGCAGTAGGTTTGGATGCAAGGATACTACTGTGCTCCTTCTCCCTCGTAGTCTATGAGTTTTTCTCTCCACTGATCCCTTTTCTGTACCCGTAAGTCTGGCCACATTTACCTACATATTTTATGTGCTTCCTGAAATGACTGATTCATATTTTTCCTCGAATTTTCTCCATCTTGCCTCATCCTTGGTGAATGAGTTGCCTCTTCACTGAAAATTACATGATTAGAAGAGAATTGCTTCATTTTTTTCTTTACTGTTATCTTCCCAAACTCCTAATGTGTACTCCCATATAGTTATATTCCCTCCCATCACCATGGATGGATTGTTCCTTTTGACACATTTCCGACGATGTCCGCTGTTCTTACACTTTGTCTCCTTTATTACATGAATTGTCAGTCAGTGGGTAAGTACACCATCACATCTTT